TGTTAAAAGAATTCAGTCAGTTCAAATTTCTTGTTATTTTTATGGGATATTTTCTTATGGTTAGTTCTTGCTTGCTTTTTTTTACAATATCATTTTTATTTAAGTGATATTAGTATTATACATAAATTTACTTACTTGAATACTTGAAATGGCTACTAATTTACTCCTTATTCATATTTACAGTTATCTAACGGTATAAGTGATAATATCATCGATTTCGGTCTTGAAGTTTCCGCATCCATTGCACATTTTAAAATTTTGAGTTAGCGGATCGACCCAGAGCATCGGTGGCTTTCCAACTGTCTTTTGACGTCTCATGAATACCATTCAAAATGTGCATATAGGTGATCAAATTATGAATATTATATTTATATATACATTATGAATACTGTGTTCACATATCGTATAAATATAATATTCATAATATCCTTCGACTGGCCCGGTGCTCCGGCCTGTCAAGTCGGATGGTCGGCTCCTTGGCGGTTGTTCGGAGTAGCAGCAGGGTCCACGTCTCTCGTGAGTTGTCCACAATACTATAGCACTACACTGGATCGACACTACTTTTCAATACAGACACGGCGACCTTATATAGGCCGCTTTCGCGCCATTACACGATCTACCTGGGAGGGAGTCATGACGCAACAGTTGAATACTGTGCATTTTTTTCCAGTTCATTTATGCGGGTTGGACACAACTGAAATGGGATGGCTGCTGGTTTGCTGTGGATTCTTCGGTTGGTCTGAGCATTCTTGGTGTATTCCTGGTCACTTATGCCAGCATATCTGGCCTTGGCCTCTCATCTTATATTGGAATTCACTTTAATGCTGCAACAACGCAGGTCAGCTTTTTTTAACTTCTTGTAACAATTTTTGCATTTTTTTTTTTATTTCTGGTTTTTCCGATTCTTATAATTTTTTGTTTTTTTTTGATTGTTTTAGTATGATTTTTTACTTTTTCCCTTATATAGACCTTCTAAGTTTTTAACTTTTCATGTATTTCTGCTTATCGATTTTAAGTTTTTATATTTGACTTTTTATCTTTTTTCCCCATTTTTTTAAAATATTTTCTAGTTTTCATCATTTTTATGCTTCCTTTTTTTTCTCTTTTTCTTGCTGATTGACTTACCTATAATTAAAAGATGCGTTTTTAATTCTTTAATGACTTTAAAAATTTTTTAGATAGTGCCGTTTTTAACACTGGGACTTGGTGTTGATGATATGTTCTTGTTGCTGCATAACTACAACGATGTCCTTCATACTGTAAAGAATAATGAAATAGGTAATAATCTCTATTTTTCGATTCATATTTATATTTTTTAATAATAATATTATTTTCTATTCAAACAGTTATAATCAAAATTTTCAACAAATTCCGGTATTTTTTTAAGTTCTACATTTTTTCGCAGCAGAAAATGAATGGTTTAATTTAAATTCTTATGAGGCTGTTATTTTTTTTTTCTTTTTTTTTCAGGTGTACTAATGAAAGAAACGGGTATGAGTATTGTAATTACATCTGTAAATAATATTATTGCATTCATGGCTGGCACTCTATTACCCATTCCAGCATTAAGGTCATTTTGCTCACAGGTGGTGATTCTTGTATTTTTTTGGCTTAAAATACAAGGTAATAACGAATTAATATGAGCGAAAAAATTTGAAAAAAATAAAAATTTATATTAATAAACTCAAAGAGATGGCGCATATTCATCTACCAAG